AAGAAAAAATGCACTTAATTTGAGTAAAAATGACTTATTTAGAGTTCCATTTTTTGCAGTGTGATTACAGGTTGGGCTGTGAAAGGTGAGATTCATATCTATTTTCTTTTTAACATTTTTCAGCTTGGTTTTGATTTTTTTTTTCACTAAATAAATAAACCCTTAATCTAAAATAATATTTGTTTTATTTTTGTCTTCACTGTTAATTTCCTGATGTTAAAATCAGTCTGTTGATCTCAGGCTTGAAAGTGTAGCAAAAGAAGCAGAGAGAAAAAAAAAGTTTAAGGTTGAGTAAAGTACGTTTTGTCCTTTAACGACAGGAACCTTCCTCCTGTGCTGCAGAGCTCCGGACAAAAAACCCGAATAATTCATTTCAGATTAAACAGGCTTCAGTTAGCTGAGAGGTCTAATCCAGCTGCTGGGAAATTAAAGGAAAAGACAGAAAAAGTATAATTTGTTTCAAAGATTTCTCATAAGAAAGAAAATGAAGGCTTCAAGTGATGACTGCTGGTGAAGGTTTTCCTGGTGGTCTAATTACTCTTTTATTCGACCATGTAGGAACCAAATGAGTTTCCTTTCTGTGCTGATTTATATTTCAGACAGAGGTAGATGTACTTTGACCTTTTCAGCACTATATTTTAAAGGATTTTTGAGAGCTTTGTGTTTAATATCCGATCGCGGCACCAGACAATTATGGGAGCAGTGACTTTCCTCTGTATTAAAAGAGCTGACTTTGAGTTTCATAAAATATATCACATAAAACCCCCAGTATGTTTTGCCACCTTGGTTTGATTTTAGCCCCTGAATTGTACTCCAGAGGTATTCTCTTTAGTTTTTCTTCTTTGCTCTCATTGATTGCTTAATTTTTCTTAATGAACTAATGCATCGATTCCCCCCCATTTCCACTAGAGCAATAAATGCTATAAAATGAAATGAAAATTTGAAATGTTAAAGAAAAAAATAGTATGAAAAAGGGGGTGTATTCTCTTTGTGTAAAATTATATAGCCAAAAAGAAGTTGTTCCATTTAATCTGATTCTCAATTTATGTTTTCATCAGAGGAATCTCAGCTGTAACATCTGTAAAACGTATTTCTACAGTGCCTCGCATTTTTACATTTTCTCATGATGCACCTAGAGATTTCAGTTGGCTTTCCTGGGGTTTAAAGCAATTAACCAAAAGAAGGTGTTTCATTTTCTCTTTGCTCTAATACCTTCTCAATAAGAGTTTTCAAACTCCTTAAGAAATAGTATCCTGCAATTATTAGATGTCTCCCTGCTCTAATCAAATAAATCAAATAGCTGAAGTAAATTCTCAGTGTGCGGGCCAGGTTCTCCAAATTATTTAATTTCAATGTGCTGAAAGAGTTACATGTCTAAAAGTTGAAGGTCACCAGCCATTGACGACTTTGACAAATGAAATCCAGTCTAGATAGTTGCCTCGGGATGTCATCAAATTTCTACAATTAATCTATCATTAAGATGAAGCAACAGGGCACTCAAATTAGGGAGATGGTTGGAAAGGTTTGGTCATATAAAAAAGGGTTGTAAGCTTTAAGCATCAAACAGGGCTCCATTTAATCCATAATCCGTCAACATCAGAGCATAGTCATGTGTTAGAATAACCTAGTCAAAGTCCAGATATCAATCTAATCAAAAATCAGTGCAGGTTGACATGTTCCTTTTCTATCTCTGCTTCTGTCTCCTTGAACCCCAGTCGGTCTCAGCAGATGGCCGCGCACACTGAGCCTGGTTCAACTGGAGGTTTCTTCCTGTTAAAAGGGAGTTTTTCCTCTCCACTGTTGCTACAAGCATGCTTAGTGTGAGGAATTACCTTTGAGTCAATCAGTCGATGCAATCAACTGGTTTTCCTTTGATAGAAAACTTTGAATCAATTTGACTGTATGATCTGGTGAACTGTGACGTGCCTTGAGATGACATGTGTTGTTAATTGGTGCTATATAAATGAATTTAATTGAATTAAGGTTTAAACAGAAAACTAAAATGTATTTCTAACCACGTTTACAGGATTAAATGGGGATGCTGTCTGTTTAAAACTAATAGTCAAACGTTGTGGTGGTGGTGTGATGCTTTGCTCCTTCAGGGCATGGACGACTGGCCGCAAATGATGGAAGTATTTCTCTATAAGGAAATCTTAAATTATATATCCTTAAATTATATATTCCATAGAATAGCATCATTTAAGTTTTAACACGAGAAAAGACATTATATTTTAGGTCAATATACAGCACTTGGCATATATCAATGCTCACCTGGTCATGGAATAATGTTGTAAGCTTTAAGCATCACACAGAGCTCAATTTAATCCATAATCTGAACATGGAATAAATATGACAGATATAAACATACTAAGATATGACCGTTCACCTAGACTGGGAGCAGGGCTCAGAGAGTTTTAATCAAAGAAGTAGCCAGTGCAGAACATGTTGGTGGCAGCATCATGCTGTGGGAATGTTTCTCTACAGAAAGAACTTTGATGCTGGTCAGTGCTGATGGCAGTGCAATGAAAGTCAACATCAGAGCATAGTCGTGTGTTAGAATGACCCAGTCAAAATAAGTGCAAAGACTTGATAACTATGGAGGATAAAAAGTGCCAAAATTAAATAAATAAATACAGCATTAAATAAATAATAAAATGTGTCAATAATTAATTAAATGTGGAATTACATAAATAAATGTGTCATTCATTAATTAAAACCATGTCACTAATATAAAGTGCCACAATTAAATAAATAAATACAGCGATAAACAATTAATTAAATGTGTAATTCATTAAATAAATAAGGAATTAAATATATAAATGTGTCATTAATTTAATAAAATACGTCTTCATTTTATTAAAAAAACATAATTATTTCAGCGTGCATTTAATTATTTCATGGTCCTCTGTCGCAGTGCATCGAAACCATTAAAAGAATCTGTCAAACTCACCCATCAAAGTTAGGGGGTGGTTCTCTAACACCTGATTGGTCACCCTGCACATTAAGGCGAAGCAAATCGATTACAGAGACTGTGATCCACAGGTTGTGGACATACTCTGATACCGTAGGTGGCGACTCGATTCGCATTAACCCCGCCCCCTAACTTTGATGGGTGAGTTTGACAGATTCTTTTAATGGTTTCGATGCACTGCGACACAGGACCATGAAATAATTAAATGCAAACTGAAATAAATATATATATATTTTTTAATAAAATGAAGACGTATTTTATTAAATTAATGACACATTTATATATTTAATTCCTTATTTATTTAATGAATTACACATTTAATTATTTGTTTATCGCTGTATTTATTTATTTAATTGTGGCACTTTATATTAGTGACGTGGTTTTAATTAATGAATTACACATTTATTTATTTAATTCCACATTTAATTAATTATTGACACATTTAATTATTTAAAATGAAGACGTATTTTATTAAATTAATGACACATTTATATATTTAATTCCTTATTTATTTAATGAATTACACATTTAATTAATTGTTTATCGCTGTATTTATTTATTTAATTGTGGCACTTTATATTAGTGATGTGGTTTTAATTAATAAATGACAAATTTATTTATTTAATTCCACATTTAATTATTATTGACACAGTTAATTATTTATTTAATGTTGTATTTATTTATTTAATTTTGGCACTTTTTATCCTCCATAGATAACTGATGTTAAGAAAAAAACCTTTTTATAGAAGGTTGGGAAAAGGTAAATCCTCCAAAGCTGAGAGAAAACAAAAAAAGATTCGAAGCTTTAAATGAAGGGAAAGTGTTTTTAACAAATACACACACAGGATCACATGCATACCACATTTTATTCTAATTTCCCTTGTGTTGGTAATTGCATAAAGTATATGAAAACTTTCTGTTGGAGCTTGACAAAACAGTCCCCTGCACATTTGTCAAAGAAGGCATTCAAAAAGATTTACTATGTGAGTTATGGGACTATGTGAGGTGCTGTGCTGAAAACGACAGTCTGTTAAATCTGAGCTTTAAAGGAATAGTACACCCAAAACATGATTAGCCTTCATTTTCTACTCACCCCCATGCTGAACAACACTCTGGAGTACTTTTTTGATATCTCAAATGCATCTGGAGATCTGGGAGGCTTCTTGCTGTCTGCTGACATTCAAATAATGGAGGTCTATGGCGCCCGAGGCAGAAAGGTCCATAAAAGTCCACAAAAAACGTTTCAATATTCCTCCATACTGCTCGTCCAATGTATTCCAAGTGTCCTGAGTGGGTAGCATCCAGAATTTACTCGAAACGAAGTCATTTAGAATGTTTTTAGAGCATAAACAGTAGTGTATAGGATTTCCTGAAAGTGCGCACCTGCGCGTTCACGACGCTACGGAAGCCGGCAGACCAAACCAGATGAAAGTGCGCATTCAGCGTCTGCTCTGCCAATAATGCAAGCGTAGAAGAAGAAATGTGCTGTTTACCTGTGCAAAGAAAGAAACAACGAAAGAAAAATGTCTGAGGACTTCAGTGTTGAGGAAGAGCATGAGTTCTTTGCCGAGCTGAATGCGCACTTTCATCTGGTTTGGTCTGCCGCGGTTTCCGTAGCGTCGTGAACGCGCGTTCAGGAAATCCTATACACTACTGTTTATGCTCTAAAAACATTCTAAATGACTTCGTTTCGAGTAAATTCTGGATGCTACCCACTCAGGACACTTGGAATACATTGGACGAGCAGTATGGAGGAATATTGACACGTTTTTTGTGGACTTTTATGGACCTTTCTGCCTCGGGCGCTGGGCACCTCCATTATTTGAATGTCAGCAGACAGCAAGAAGCCTCCCAGATCTCCAGATGCATTTGAGATATCAAAAAAGTACTCCAGAGTGTTGTTCAGCATGGGGGTGAGTAGAAAATGAAGGCTAATCATGTTTTGGGTGTACTATTCCTTTAACACTTAGACTGATCTCTGATGAAAGGATTGTTTTGATTACATTCAAGTGAACTTATGTGACCTCAGGTCAGACGGATCCAAGACGCAGGTTCAAGCGGACCTGATCGTCGGTTGCGATGGAGCGTTCTCTGCCGTTCGTAAGCAGTTCATGCGCCGGAGCCGCTTCAACTACAGCCAGACGTACATCCCTCATGGGTACATGGAGCTCACCATACCTCCAAAAGACGGAGAGGTCAGTTGATTCTTTGCACCTTGGTGACATTCAGATGGTGTATTTACCAAACACAGTGCTTTTAGAACGACTGAACATAGAAAATTTTGAGTTTTCAGGATCATCTTTCTTAATATCTTTTGCTGTCAATATCTTTTTATCATCATCCTCAGTTTGCTATGAAACCAAATTTCCTGCACATCTGGCCAAGAAACACTTTCATGATGATTGCACTTCCTAACCTGGTGAGTCTGAAGGATATTTCCATATGAATTGATTTCATTTAAACATTGTTTAAATGTTAAACGGGAAAAACTCAACCAGCATATCTTCCTATTTGGTCCCAAACAATTCCAGGGGTACTGAAAGGAGTGTTTTTACGTTTTTACAATAAATACTGCAATTAAAATCAGTCCAAATGATGATTTAATGACTTCATATTAAATCCACTAAACTTAGGTTGAGATTTCTTATCCACCAATGTTAGGATTATGGTTAACTCCTCAGGAGATGAGATATACTCGAGGTGTTGAATTAGTTTTGGGTATAAAGTCCACAGACCTTAGGTTTGGTTTACCTGCAAAAATTCTGGTGTGGAATTTTTGGGGTGTTTGACAGAACTTTAATGTAAAACAAAAAAAAGTAAACATATAAAAGTGTTTAAACATCGCTTCAAAAAGCAATCAGGGATCATTTAAAAAGCTTCAAATTAGACTATGCATTAAAACTTAAAATTACATTTAGTTTTTAAGCAAAAGAGTTTAAAGAAGAAAAAAAAATGTATTTACAGACTTACAGGTTTGCATCTTAAAAATTGCGACGCACCTGCTCTAGACTAACTCAACATTTCATCCTGTGACCTAAAAATAACAGACTGGCAGCCCCTAAAAATATGCAGAATTGCCTCATTATATATTTATTCATAAATATAAAGTAAAGCAATTATATTACCTTTTTACGGTGGCCCCGAAGTGCAAACTGCAACTACAAATCTAAAAGCGCAACTACATTAAGGAAATTGCAACTACATAAAGCAAAGCGCAACTACATTAAGGAAAACAAAACTACATAAAGCAAAGCGCAACTACATTAAGAAAAATAAAACTACACAAAGCAAAGCGCAACTACATTAAGGAAATCGCAACTACATAAAGCAAAGCGCAACTACATTAAGAAAAACAAAACTACATAAAGCAAAGCGCAACTACATTAAGGAAAACAAAACTACATAAAGCAAAGCGCAACTACATTAAGAAAAACAAAACTACATAAAGCAAAGCGCAACTACATTAAGAAAAACAAAACTACATAAAGCAAAACGCAACTACATTAAGGAAAACAAAACTACATAAAGCAAAGCGCAACTACATTAAGAAAAACACAATTACATTAACCTACCGGAAAAGGTAGGTACCAGTGGGAAACAAGAGACATCGCTGATTGGACGACGGGGCCGTTTGACCCTTGAACCGGAAGTTGCGTCGTCTGAACAGTCCAGCTTCTTTTAAGTGTGTCTTCAGTGTACGCAAACTAACTGAAATTTCGTGATTAGTCTTGAGCATATCCAGTATCACCTCGTACGTATGTCCTGATTCAAAATATTCCTGGATAACGGCAGCTATGTTTGGGGGGCCGACAATATCCATGTTTTCAAAAGCCGCAGCAGGCAGAATGACTTCCGGTTCAAGGGTCAAACGGCGCCGTCGTCCAATCAGCGATGTCTCATGTTTCCCACTGGTACCTACCTTTTCCGGTAGGTTAATGTAATTGTGTTTTCCTTAATGTAGTTGCGCTTTGCTTTACATAGTTTTGTTTTTCTTAATGTAGTTGCGCTTTTAGATTTGTAGTTGCAGTTTGCACTTCAGGGCCACCGTACATTTTAAATTTATTTATTTAAAAAAAAAAGCCTTTTAATTATTCAATTGATCATCATAAATGTATATTTGGTTATATAATTGGACTTTTAATAATTTTATGTTACATTTTAAAGTTACAATTAAATTGCATCGTATCCATTTGCATAACTCTACCTGGTTGCCATTGTTTTAGGGGTTGCTGACAACGGTTAGCTCTGTTGGAGGATTTTGAGGAGCACCGATGTGGAGCACCTCCTGTCAAACGTAATGACATTTGACAGGAGGTGCGTCATGATGTATTTTAAGGCAAATATCACAGCATCCTTTGTTTGTTTTCCAATTTAGGACAAGACTTTTACCTGCACCCTCTTCATGCCCTTTGAAGATTTTGAGAAGATCACCACAGGAGATGAAGTCATCGAGTTTTTCCAAAAATACTTCCCTGATTCAATCCCTTTAATCGGAGTGTGGGTGACCTTCTCCCTCCCCTCTGTTCCTCCTATCTTCCCCTAAGCTTTTGCCACATCATTCAGCCTATTAGGTCGTCTTCATAAACATCTCCAACACCCGTCGCCCAGTAGAATGCAGACACACCTGCAGCGGGCTGTGAAATTGCAAACCTTACTCTCCTATAGATTTCTGCCACTAGGTTTTAATTTAAGCTGCAAAGAGTGATGGATAGATGGGCGGATGCAGGAGGTGGCCTTAATCAAGCTGGAGAAATTTATTTACCTACCTCATCCTGGAGGCTGATTTTATTCAGAACGGTCAGGCATGAATAGCTAAATGTGTTCTTTCTTCCCCTTCATTCTTTTTTTTTTATTTAATTTACAAACCAAAGTAGACAGATTGTGCTGTTTTACAAAACCCAGCTGTGACAGATGCTTCCGTGGCGAACAGTACGCAGCCTCATTTTTTAGGCAGAAAACGTCAGATTGGATCAGTTGCTCTAAGTAAGTTTGTAATTGTTTTGTTTCCATTTGTCCTTTGCAGTGACGCACTCAAGAGGGATTATTTCCGCCTGCCTGCGCAGGCCATGGTGTCCGTTAAGTGCTCCCCATATCACATTGGTGATAAATGTGTCCTCATGGGGGACGCAGCCCACGCTGTGGTGCCTTTCTACGGCCAGGGGATGAACGCTGTGAGTAACTCTAGATGGTGGAGAATATAGGGCAACAAAGAATCAGATGTGGAGCCATTCTTTCATTTTTGCTTTGCAGGGCTTTGAGGACTGCATTGTCTTTGATGAAATAATGAATCAGTTCAATGAAGATCTCAGTAAGTGTTTTTTTTTAAATAAAAACTAATAATACGTAGTAAGCCATCAGGAGATAAGAGTCTTTCTGGTATATTTTATCTGTTTGTGCACAGGTGCAGTACTGCCTGAGTACACTAGGGTGCGAGTCCCAGACGACCATGCAATTGCAGACCTGGCCATGTACAACTATATCGAAGTAAAGCAGTTTAATTTGATCTTTACATGCACCGATTTCATATTCTAATCAAGCTACTTGGGTTTTTGATCCATACATGATATATGATTCTGCAGATATAGTGTTGTAGATATTTGAAAAGAAATAAATACATTTTCCCTTTGAGCTTCTGCAGATTAATGTCAGCAAAACTGCATTACTAATGCCACGTCAGTAAGAGTTGATAGCATCCGTATTGATGAGTTAAACATTTAAAAGTTTATCCTTAACTTGGCCAATTAAAGTAAAGCAGAGTTAAATATGTGTTGAAAGAATGTCAGCTCCTCTTTTTTCATATCTATTTATCTGTATGTCTGTCTATCTATCTTGAGAGGAACAGCTGTCTGATGGAGATCTGATAGGAAGGGATTGAGACTTTCTGAGCTAAAGCAGCCACTCTTTGGACACTACCAGCGCTGTTTCCAAAAGCTTTACCTGAAAAAGTTTTTTTCTTTTTCCCCACAGCAAAAAAAAAAGGGTTCTTAAAGGCATACTATGCAACACTTTTCAGTTAATTAATGTGTTCCATAACGTTTTGGATGATTAAATGAGTCATTTCAGGTCGAACAAAGGTTTTCTCGGCCGCCCTGGTGGTCTGTAGGGGAAATACCGTACTAGCAATTGCAGGAGCCCTCGGCCCGCACCCACAGGCTCAGAAGTCTCGTGCATCGCGAGAGTCGGTCTTGCTTTACGGCGAGAACTGCTACACGCCCCCAGTGAAAGGCATGCTCGTTGCTAGCACAGTGGCGATATTTGTGCAGTTATCATGGCGGAACCAGCGAGAAAAACATTTAGACACATGCATAACAAATAATGTATGAAAACATGCAAAATTTTCCAACTCAAAAATTGGAACAAAATAGTCACTTACCGCAATAGACATGGTGATTCGTTGCGTTCGCCTGTCTGCTAAGCTCAAAACAACCTGGCTTGACGGAGAAACCAGGAGAACAGCTGAGCATATTTACGACAGTGCACTTTTACTTTCGTCCTCTGGGGGGAGCTTCGCTGGAAAATCAACACCGGGTTGCATAGTATACCTTTAATTAAAGGGTAATGAAATTTGAGTGATCTTGATCAAGGCGTCACAAAAGTCAATGCAGAAATCTCTCACTTTCAGGCCCAATCAATTGTAGAGTAGCAAAGAGCCCATCTCTGCAACCCATCGGAAGCATTATTCTAATAGATTATGTTTAGTTTCCTTAACTTTCTCCAGGGTCAAATAAAGCTGATGACGAATTACATTTTTAATTCAGTTTATTTATATAGCTCGAATTCCAAACACATCATCTCATGACACTGTCCAGAGACAATTCAACCAGATCATACTGTCAGGTTGGTGAAGTTTTCTAAATTATTTCAGGAAAACCAGATAATTGCAACAAGTCTCTGACTGTGTCTTTGACTCTACAGCAATCCCCCACAACTACCATGCATACAGCAACTGTGGAAAGGAAAAACTCCCCATTAATGGGAAGAAAACGTCAGAAGAACCAGGCTCAGTATAACTTGCCCTCTGCGGAGACTGACTGGGGATTCAAGGAGAGAAAAGCAGACATAAAAAAGGAACATATTTATGGGACAGTGCACTGACCCATAAATACTCTTATGTTAGCAGTGGTAACAGTTTGCATGGTTCTCCGTCTAGAAAGAAGTAAACAAAATAGGAGTTGGTCCTCATGGGAAAGGGATGAAAGAGCACAAACAGTTAGTCACAGTGAAACCCGAATACATAGCTATGTCAAAAGAGACACAGGACTTACCACTGAAAACAAGCCCAACTCTATCTTCTAGAATTTAAGGTATTAATGGCAGCAGCCCAGCTGATATTCTCTCCTATCGTCACAACCAAACAGGAACAGATCAGATAAAGCTACTATAATGAGATCATACAGTTAGGGGCTGAACTAACAAATACTGTAGAATGGAAGAATAGACGTAGCATGAAATAGAATAATGAAAGTGATTATTATGTCCTCCAGCAATGTAAGCCTATAGCAGCATAGGTATAGAGATAGCTCAGTCTAAGCTTTATAAAATATGAACATTTTAAGTCTTATCTTATAAGTAGACAGGATGTCTGCCTCACAGACTAAAACTGGTATTTGGTTCCGAAAGAGAGGGGCCTGATGATTAAAAGATCTGCCTCCCATTTTACTACAGATGGAAATTGCAATAAGTCTGCAAAATAACAGATAAGCTGTCTTGACATAAGTCCGATTTCTGTCCATCCTCAGATTTATATACAGCTAATTAAGAAACAATCAGCTATAAACATTTAGTCTTAGAAACAAATTTATGTGAGCTCCTGCATGCCCTTTTTTTTGTTATATAGAGCTTTGAGAAAAAAAAACTCTTTTCTTTTTCTATTTTGAGTCACTTGTTTGCTCAGAATAAATGGGAATGTATTCCCCGGGCATTTGCACACCCACAGCCACCTGCTCTCAAAAAAAACAACCTCCAAGCCTCATCAAAAGCTGATGCTGATGAGGTCTGATGTCATCTATAAGTTATCATCTGTGTCTGGTGACCTTCTTACACTGCTTTACTCCATTTCTCATGCCACCACTTACCATATGTCCTTCAGTTGTAGATGTGGCTACGGCTTACAAAATTAAATAATTTGCATACTGATGACGGGTCTGCATGCATCAAAATAACATCCGAATCAGAGCATTGCTTCAAGTGCCTAACGTGGTTCTTCATTGCTGCTGAGAGAGTCGTGGAAAAAAGATTAAGATGTCAGTAATACCTTTAAACCAGTCGTAATGAAAACCATGGTAAAGAGATTTCTGTTTAAAGATTTTCACGCTTACTGCTCCTCTCAGCTCCTCGGGCAGATTGATTTGGCGACTTGCAACATGAATGCTAAAAGCTTCTCACTTAAGGATTTCCATCCTGCATACTGGGGCTGCTAACTGAGGTAGGCCAAAGGAGCTTAGGGGTTAGTAAATCATATGCTGAAAGCAGGAGAGACACACAGTTTGGCCCTCTGCAAAAAAACACAATTTGCTGTTAAATCAAAAGGAAGGATTCTAAAAGGCATCCAAAACTGAGAAGTGGAGTATATGTGTTATAACAGTTCCAATTACAAATAAATACATAGGGGTCTCAGTCAGAGGGAAAAAGCACAGAAAGGAAGAAATAACCTCAGGCAAAAACAGACTCACGATTCAGTGATGGTTTCTAATAAAATCCCATTACTGGTCCCCATCTAAGCTAAAAATCCGAGGACTCTTGACTTAAGAAATGAAATTTGGCATCGCTGACATGACTCACAAACACATCTGCTGTTTTGCTTTCCAGATGCGAGCGCATGTCAACTCCAAATGGTTCATTTTCAGGAAACATGTGGATAATCTTCTTCACTTCCTCATGCCAAAGACCATTATTCCACTTTACACCATGGTAAGTATGTCCTCAGTGGCTGATCATCACTGCTGCCAATTCTAAAGCATCCTCCAAAATGACATTAGATCTTTTACTGCAGAAGCTTAATTAATCTCACTCAACAAACTTGAAATAATTAATCAAATCTGAGTAAATGTACTTAAAAAAAAACAATGTTAAGGCAGCACTTTTGTTTCTCCTACCCTGTTGGACAGATCTTCCACATCTCAGATAATTATCCAGAGTCCTTGATCTTTTATTGGGATTTCTTCAGATAATTCCTTGTTTTTTTTATTGGGTTTTATTTGGAAATGGGACTAGAAATGGGCCCACAGCATCATGGATTCTCTTCCATACTTACGAGATCCACCTGGATTGTTTGTTGCTGAAAAACTCAATCCTAGACTCATCTGAAGAAAGTAAACTGTTCCTGTAACAGAAAAATTTAAGTTTAGGAAATTTATATCTCTGCATCTGTGATGATAGGACAGATAAAAAAAGGTTTTCTGTCATTATTATTTTATATTTTTCTGGCATGTCTCTCAAACAACTCCTAAGTTAGTAGGTAGTGTTTATTTACCCTTACTATTCCTCCTTATTTAACATTGTGGTAAGATAAACCTGGTCATCCCAAAGATGTTTTAAAGTGCTATAAATAGTTCTCACATGATGTCACGCCTGCTGCAGCTGCAGCACATTATTATGACTGTTTAAAGAGCTGGGTTGCGGCATTTCAATTTTACCTTTCTATGCAAGAGAATCACAATGGTTAAGTATTGTAGCGGTCAAGGGTATTAAAAAAGTGGATGGACCTTTAAGACCATCTTTATCCGTGTAAACAGTGAAGAGTGGAATAGAAATGCTTGAATATTACTTCTAAATGCAAGCATTTCTGTTCCGTACTTGTAAAGACTTTAAAGTAATCATAAATTTACATTTATTTAAATTTTGAGACAATAAACGAAGGTCGCATATGCATTTAAACCCCTTATAAGCAAATATCAGCTCCTTTAACAGAAAAAACATTGTTGAATAAACTTCCATTTTGCATTTCTCCACTTCTTTTGGATCTATGCCAACAACAACCATCTTTATTTAGTATCTTTTTAAGGACAAATCATCTAACTTGTCTCTGTAATGCATTCCAGTATTTGACAAAGCCACAGCTAATGAAAACTAATAATAAGATATAGGGTTGTCAAAAGTATCGATACTCAAAAAGTATCGATACTGAAACGTTGTATCCGGATACAATACTCATTTTCAAAAGTATCGAGTACCAGTCGCACCTAAGCAGTCATTCATCTAAAGTGCAGAATAGAGGACAATGCACTTTCAGAACACTGTGTGATTGAATAATTCTCTGCACTTTTCAGTTTCAGACTTTTTTTGTAAGAGGTGCAGCTGCTGAGAATTATTTTTGTTTCTTAACCGGTTTGGCTAGTGTCATTGTCATGTGTGCAAAGCACAGCCAAGTAAGGAAAACTTAATTTTAATTTTGGAAGTTTTTTATCAAGCTTGCTAAATACTGTGCACAGAAAAAAACCTCAAAATGTTGTTCTTATTGTTTATTGTAAATATTTATTTATTGTGTTTTAATTATTAATCAAAATATTTCTGTTGAAATTTTATCCTTGTGGTATCGAAAATGGTATCGAGTATCGAATATTTTCCTTAGTATCGGTATCGAGTTGAAAAGTTTAGTATCGTGACAACCCTAATAAGATAAATAACAACTACAAACCTATGTATTCCTGCATTCATATGTTGTACCATCTACTGATATCCTATCAACATGGGACAGTTTTGGAGTCACTTACCTTAAGCCAAGTTTTGTAGGAGCTAAAAAAAGATGCTAATCCAGGGGCGTTGCTAAGCACAAAGCTTTACTGGGGCACTGGCCCCCTAGTGCATATGCCCCTCCTTCCATACATAAATACAGACAAGCACACTGCCCAACCCTGATACATTCCTACCAAAATTACCAGTTGAGATATTAATAAGTGTAAGAGCATATTTGTTTTAACAAACATGAACATTTTCAACATTGCAGCTATAAAAAATAAGACATCAACAACTTTGACAAATAAAAAGTTTCCTTATACACATTCTGAAGTAATCATTAATTCCTAGGTTTCAGAGTTTTAGTTCGGGGGAAAGTTTAACTCATCCTGAGCTAAGTTTTTATTTTATTTTATGAGCATTAAAGTGTACCTCCTATTTATCATTTTTGCAAAGCGGTCAATCACTTGACTGTGACTCAGCTTAGAAAGTTCTTCCTTTTCAACTGATAAAATAGCAAGATGATGGAGCCTGTCTTGTCCCATTGTGCACCTCGGCCAAGTGTGGATCCTTCTTAACACACTGAATGACCTTTCACAACTCCAGCTGTTGATTGTGATTGTGAGGGAGATCTGGATGACCTGCGTTAGTGTTGGGAACATGATGTTATCAAGCATGTTGAAAACACACTGCATATCCTTGATGACAAGGCTTTCTTTTTTAACCAGGAAAAGCTCAAACCATTTTGAATGAAATGAACGTTTTTTTACTCCAAATTTGTCCTGGGGATAGTGGGACAACTTCACTTGTTTAGGACCATCAGGCTTTCCCCCTAAGTCACTAATGTCCCCTTCTTGTTTGTGGAAGCTGGTTGTTGCTCCCTCATCACCTTCATGGTCCTGTCTCTCTCCTTTCTCTTGCCTGTCAGTCTCGCCTCCTCCTCCCTTTCCTACTCCAGCACCTTCATTCTCATTCTCTACAGCAAACATTAAAAAACGTAAATTTATAATTATGTAAATATCTATCATATTGCTTATAACGTTCCTAATGTAACTGCTGAGCTTAAATCACTAATTCATAACGGGACCTTACCTCCCTCTCTCTCATCTTGTTTTACTGCTTCCCTGTCTCTGCTTCGTGTGAGGAATTTCCTGATATCCATCTACAAAACAATGCAGTAATTTTCAGTTAGGAGCCTATAAATCATGTGGTTTCACTGGGAAAATAATAAAATTGACAGGTAAGAAACGTTACCAGAACTAAAAATGCGTCGTGGCCGCACAGTGTCCCATCCAACTCAGTTGAGAGCAGCGCGTTAGTTTACCTGCAGTTCATGCAGTGACATGCGCTGATGTGGGGGCGCTAATACATCCTCAATTTGGAGTTACCGACACACTTGCTGCGCTTTTGAGTAGAAATATACGTCTCCTCCCGTTGGAATTATCTAAATTGATGCATTAAAAAAATGTAATACTGTTGCAAATATTCATGAGATTTATACTGGGGCACAGCTCATTTATACTGGGGCACGTGCCCCAGTAAATGGGGTCTGGCGACGCCGATGTGCTAATCTACTTCAAAAATGAAGTATAAATTATAAAACTGATTTGTTTTTATTATATGTTGCTGTACACAGACGTTTGGTGCTGATATTTCATTCTCTCGACAAAAAAAATCTACTTCCAAATGAATACGAGTGTCATTATGCTACTTTTAAAATGATGTACTTGAACATTTTTTACTTTTCTTCGCCAGTGTCTGATAGTCTGCTGTTCTGCATCTGTCCACCAAAAATTTCTGTTTTCAGGTCACTTTCACCAGGACTAGATACCATGTAGCTGTGGAGCGCTGGCTTTGGCAGAACAAAGTGAGTTTCTTTCTTCTATTATCTTAATTTGCTCTTAATAGTTTTTTCTCCCTGTAAATATCAGAGTTTCTTAATCTATGACTTTCTTAAAGTCGCAGCATTAAATACACAGGAGATAAAAGCAGAATGGGATTTTCACTGATTGCACTATTAAGATTGTGTCCTTGCTGCTGTGTGGAGCAGAAAGTTCTCAGATTTCTCATGCTTGGCTGTAGATAAGCCAGTAATTCCCTGGCTTGTGCTAATGGCTTCTGCGCTCATAGTCAGAGAGACAGCAGGGATTTCACAGCCTCCCTTGTAAATCGTTTAGACCCAAAGGAATGTGTTGGCAAAGGACACATTGAATATGAAGGAGAATAAAAAATGACCTCATGAAGCTGCATGTCCGTGATAGAAGATGGAGATCAATGAGGGCATCGCTGTGAGTCTTTGCTAAGCATCAGAAAGAGGCTAATAAAACATGAAGGACAAACAGTGAGTAATAATAGTGAAAAACAAATTTGTTTCACTTAACAAAAAAGGCATTTCACAGGAATTAATAGTTACCAAGTCAATGCAGATTTAGTTACTGTACCTTGCAAAATGATTCATGTTTTTTACTTTATCGGGTTAAGATCAGGGTTTTATGTTACAGACCAGCACAAAGTAATCCATTTATGTTTTATTTGACAAATAAACAGTTAGACCTACAGAATAAAACAAACCATCTGCCTCCAGATGTCACCCATAATTTTCTTCAACTGAATAAAAACAAAACTGAAGTAATCATCTTTGGACCAATACAGGAGAGATCTAAAGTTAGCACACAGCTTCAGTCGCTTCAGCCAGTAACCACTGATCAGGCCCGAAATCTAGGTGTAGTGCTGGATTCAGACTTGAACCTCCAAAAGCATTTAAGGACAATTACACGGTCGGCTTTCTATCACCTGAAGAACATTTCCAGGATTTAAGGACTAATGTCTCAGCATGATCTGGAAAAACTAATCCATGCGTTTATTTTTAGTCGAATTGATTACTGCAACGGTGTTTTCACCGGTCTGCCTAAAAAGTGGATCAGACAGCTGCAGCTGATCCAGAACGCTGCTGCCCGTGTCCTCACTAAGACTAAGAAAGTAGAGCACATCACCCCAGTTCTAAAGTCCTTACACTGGCTCCCTGTATCTCTGAGAATAGATTTTAAAATACTTCTGTTAGTCTATAAATCTCTGAATGGCTTAGCACCTAAATACATCACAGACTTGCTATCAGTGTATCAACCCTCCAGACCACTCAGGTCTTCTGGCTCCAGCCTGCTCTGCATACCTAGAACCAGAACTAAACATGGAGAAGCAGCATTTAGTTCCTATGCTCCACTTATCTGGAACAAACTTCCAGAAAACTGTAAAAGTGAGAAAAGCCTGAGTTCCTTTACATCAAGACTAAAAAAACATTTGTTTAGGATTGCCTTCGACTGTTCTAGTTAAACAGTTCAACTGAAACATCATTAGTTCAACTTTTTTATTTTCTTTAGTCCAACTGTTTTTAATATTCTTTTTTGTTTCTGCATTTTTTATTGGATTTATTTTTTATTTTTCCCTTCTTGCTTTGATTCTGTTTTATTTTCCTATATTTTAATCATTTAAAGCACTTTGCATTGTCTTTGTACTGAATTGTGCTATACAAATAAATTTGCCTTGCCTTGCCTTGCCTAATAGTATAGTATAGAGTATACCATATTTTAATGTAATTTCAGAATAACTGCATTCTGTACCATCATTAAGATCAAGCGACACAGACATGTCAGGGAGAAATTTAAGATTTTTTAAAGTCGGGTTTGGTGATAAATCATTATCGTAATCTTTGAACATCTTCCTGTGCTCAGTTCCATCCCTCCAAAACACCAGAGATCATTTAGACGTTGGTTGTTTGGCTAAATGTGGGCGGTTTGTCAGACCTTACAAGGGGACAAAACACCTTACCTGTTTAACCAGGCCTTTAACGACCCCCTTTCAGAGACATAGACAGGTATCGGGTATTACAGCCGAACAAAGAACCCAAACGACCGCCATTCCAAAGGGACAGACCCGTTCATCCGGTTCAGGTTGCGTGTTGTCTAAGCCAAAACAAGGCTTTGGTCCACTCTATAAAGCCTGGAACTCAACACTATTTCTAACATTTTGAATTGAAAAAGCTTCCTGGATGGGAAGCAAAACGTCTTCAAACTTTGAAACAAAGTCCAGTGAATTGTTTTTTAACTTTTTGGAATCGGTCCGTCACATTCTTTATTTATTACAAAAATCATTGTTGAAAATTGGGCTGTTTGGGCGTTCTAATTTTGTCCCTCTTTTAGTTCAATAATAGATGTTGAAAAGACATTAAAAACTGGGTTCACTTTTCAACTACCGTAATTTTCGGGCTATAAGCCGCGACTTTTCACCATTTTTCAACCATTTTTCCGACCTTGCGGCTTATATAACAATGCAGCTTATCTATGGACTTCTACAGCTAACGGCCACTAGGGTAATACGGTACCTAAATCTATGGATTTTACAATCCACCATGTTGACGTCACATTTGCTTCAACACACAAGTAGCCGCGTTGGAATGCGGACGTCCTCCGGAAGCAGACTCCGAGAAAGACGGACATTGCGAGCGCAAGACAGTTTGTGTGAAACCCTCATCATGGAAAACAAACTTTGAAATGCATATGATGCAGCTTTTAAGTTAAAGGCAGTCAATTTGGCAGAAAACGAAGGAAATAGAACCGCTGCATGTAACCTTGGAATCAACAAGTCAATGGTGAGACATTGGAAACGCCAGCAGGAAGAATTGTCTCAAATCAATTGTGTTGAAATGTTAATAAATAGGAGCTTACCCAAACAGTTGCCTCTTTCCCGACAATCCTCTCTGTGCACGAACCATATGGCAATTAAAGATAAAAAACTTGCGGCTTATAGTCCGGTGGAGGTTGTATATGTAGAAATCATGCAATTTAGCTTCTGCGGCTTATATTCAGGTGCGGCTTATAGTCCGAAAATTACGGTATATGAAAATTTCCATTAATTAAAGGGATAGTACACCCAAAACATGATTAGTCTTCATTTTCTACTCACCCCCATGCTGAACAACACTCTGGAGTACTTTTTTGATCTCTCAAATGCATCTGGAGATCTGGGAGGCTTCTTGCTGTCTGCTGACATTCAAATAATGGAGGTCTATGGCGCCCGAGGCAGAAAGGTCCATAAGGTCCTCTTGCGGTTTTGCGCCGGGCGGCTTTTCTGCTCTCGGGCTGATTCTGTGCGCGGTGTGTTTCGTTGCGCGCTGTTGGCATCGGTCTTGGTGGGGGTGGGGCTGCGCTTTTGGCCGGGGGGGCGTTTTGGGGGGGGTCCCGCGGCGCTCGTGGCCGGTTCGCGGCGGATGCGCATGGGCCCCGGCCGGGGGCGGGGCCGTCTTAGTGTTTTCCTGGGTGGTGCGGTCGCGGTGGGTGTTGCGGCCGGTCGCCGGGGCTTGGTGCTGGGGGGCGGGGCGTGTTTCGGTGCTCTGTGGGGCTGAGGCGTTTCGGTCGGCGCCGTGGGGGGGGCTGGTGTTCGGCGCCCGGCCCTACTTCGGGGTGGCCGGCTGCCGGCGGGGCCCGCGGACTCGTCCCCGCGGCTCCCCGGGGCGCCGGCATGGCGGTGGCTGGGGGGCTTCCTCGTGGCTGTCTCTCCTCCTGCCTTGGTGGGGTCTGATTTCCGGGGCTGGCCCCGCCTTGGTGCCTTCGCTTCTGGGGTCCCCTTGGGTGCCTGGGGCTTTGGGTCTCCCGGCGCTGGACTCAGTGCTCTGGGGGGTGTGCCTCTCCGGCTCTCCACAACCACTATTGAGCATTTTTTTCTATGGTTAAAACTTTACATGCACAAGTTCACCCTCACAAACAACTACAGGTGCTAGGCTTCAGGTACTTAGAGATTCACTTCCAAACAGAAACCCCACATTCATATCTTCAGGTAACACAGAGTACATGTCAGACTTAATAATATTACTTTAGTGATAGTTTCAAGGTGTTTGCTTTATTGTATATCTCGTACCATGTTTTTTGGTTGTGCTGTTCTTTTTTCTTTTTTTTTTTTTTTTTTTCTCCATCTCATTACAGGTGTTGAAGCAGACTGAAAATGTTTTGTCATTGTCTCCTTCCTATCTCCTCTTTCTTTCATCTTTTGTCCTGTTTTTTTCTTTTTCTTTTTCCTTCTTCTTCTTCTGTTTTTCTGCTCTACTTACATTGCAGTGTCCATATGAACTGTAAAACTCCCTGCATAAGTATAATAAAGCAATTTATATACATGAAACAAGTGGAGCGGTATGGCAATTGCGATACCGCTACACTTGTGAAAGTAAAATCTGTTGGGCTCCTTTTGGCATCAAGACAATTATTCTTATTGCCACCTTGCCAGACAGGACACTGTAAAAAAAAAAAAAAAAAAAAAAAAAAAAGAAAGGTCCATAAAAGTCCACAAAAAACGTGTCAATATTCCTCCATACTGCTCGTCCAATGTATTCCAAGTGTCCTGAGTGGGTAGCGTCTATAATTTACTGGAAACGAAGTCATTTAGAATGTTTTTAGAGCATAAACAGTAGTGTATAGGATTTCCTAAAAGCTCGCGCATGCGAGTTCACGACACTACGGAAACCGCGGCAGACCAAACCAGATGAAAGTGCGCATTCAGCGTCTGCTCTGTCGATAATGCAAGCGTAGAAGAAGAAATGTGCTGTTTACCTGTGCAAAGAAAGAAACAACGAGAGAAAAATGTCTGAGGACTTCAGTGTTGAGGAAGAGCATGAGTTCTTTGCCGAGCTGAATGCGCACTTTCATCTGGTTTAGTCTGCCACGGTTTCCGTAGACTCGTGAACTCGCATGAGCGCTCTTTTAGGAAATCCTATACACTACTGTTTATGCTCTAAAAACATTCTAAATGACTTCGTTTCGAGTAAATTATGGACGCTACCCACTACCCCAATGGTTCTATAGCTAACATATATTATGTTAGCTATAGAACCAAAGAGCTAATTATAGCTCTAGAGCTAAACCAGCAGATAAAAACCTTGATCCCATCTAAATATGGCTGCAGTTGTACATGCACATCTCTAATCTAAAATCTATAAGTAAAACTGTAAAGGTAAAATATGAAACTTATCAAGGGGAACAATCAGCCTAGGTTTCTGCGTATCATTATATGAAAGTTATTTAATATTATGTCTTCATTACAGGGGGCCATAGCAGGGGCCAGGACCAGGTCTACACTGGCCCCTGTTCGCTCCTGTCTAGAACAGCCAATCAACATATCTATTTTTTCCTCATTAAATCTTTCTGATGTCTTTGATTCACAAGGAGAGAAAAAAATATTCATCGATTTGGATAATTATTTACATTAGTATGCTTTGAACGGGTTTGAACTCTCAGTTGATACAAAACAAAAAAACTCTGTCAGAGATGTCAAGGTGAAAAAAACAGACATGTTTTTCTCTGGATATGTTTTTTTGCAAATCTATAAAATAAGTGAGGGCTTGGATACGAGCCAATGAAGGACTAAATCCAAGCCAATTAAGTCCTGTTAATGTCTTTTTCTGTACGCAGGTAATAAACCGTGGCCTGCTGCTTGGAGCTGTGGGGGCTGTTTTCGGAGGTTCCTACCTGCTCATTAAAAACCCTGCAAATATCAACAAGCTTGTTGTCTCTGCTGAGAAAATCTGGAACAAGCTTGTAGCTCTCAAAGCCCCCCAGAGTGTTGGCACCCTCTCTCAGATCTGACAGACAGGTGCAGCGACTGGAGTGTGAGACCATGGGAATGAACTGAGGGGCGTCCAAATTTAATTAGACTTTCATTAAATTGCCTGGTTCCCCACCAACAGTGCCAGGAAATTTTGTTTTCTGTCATATTGACTGACTCACCATGAAGCAGAGATAGCTAATGTATAACATACGGTTTAAGAGTGACTATAGATGTGATTAAGTAGATTTTTCAATTAAAAGATGAACTCGCATTTCATGAACATTTTTATTAAATGCTGTTTCCTTTTGTTCCTAAACATCATGTTTAAAATGCTCTATGACCCATAACATTTGGCATTTGTTTTCCACATTAAAGTCCCTAAAAATTGTTGTGAATTTGTATTATGTTTATTATTAATTGGTCTAGAACACAATAAATCTGAGAAAAAGATAAGCATAAATCAATGCCTAAAAATAATAAAATATAACCAAAGTGCGCATGTTTTACTGATTCTCAAACTTCACACAAAAAGAGATCTTCTCCCACATCAATGCAGTGTTCTATTTTGGCAGCTCTTTCATTCATGTCACATCAAATGTTTCATTTATTTGAATAAAAGCTAAGAAGTTACAGGTTTGCAGCAATATAAGTACAAATCACAAACTTAAAAATATGAATATACATTCCCCAGTTACACTCCTTTCCACCTGATGGTGTTAAAGCACCTGGAATTGAAGAAGAGTAGGAATAAAAAAAAAAAAAAACATAAATATTTTTTCAATGCATGAAGAGTTTGATTAATGCGTTTGTTTTTTATCTGCTTCTCTTTAAAAGTGGCTATCAGAACATTTCAGGTGCATTACTGCCACCACCTGGTACGGAGTCTAACTGTCATGGTTCTACTTTGTGAGCTTCCTTTTGAGTTTCTTTTCGAGTTTTTAGTTATGTAGGTTGTCATGTTTTGTTGGTCATTGGTTTCTTGTCTATTTTGTGTCATATTTAAGCAGTGTTGCATTTTTTTTTAGTTACGCTCTGTTGCCTCCTTGTGCCAGGCTTCTTTTCCATAGCTCCCTTCTAGTTACTTCTATCCACACCTGCTCCATATCAACTGATTAGCCCATTCTTGAATTTGTCCCCCATATATATATCTATCTATATATATATATATATATATATATATATATATATATATATATATATATATATATATATATAATAATAATAATAATAATACATTTTATTTGTATTGCACTTTACATTTAAAAAAATCTCAAAGTGCTACAGAATTCATAGTTAAAACAAAACCGTACAATAAAAACAGTATACATAGTTAAAATGAGACATTACAATAAAATAACATACGTAGTAAAAACAAAACAGTAAAATAACCATAAAACCACACAGATAAAATACTAACTGATGTTCATAGGCTTTTTTAAATAAAAATGTCTTGAGGCCTTTTTTGAATGCCTCCACACTCTGTGGGACCCTAAGGGACTCTGAGAGGCCATTCCAGAGTTGTGGGGCAACTGCCTGGAAGGCCCTATCTCCCATTGTGCAGAGCTTGACTCTTGGCTGGTGCAGTCGGTGGGTGGAGGTGGTGGAGCGGAGGGTTCTGGAGGCGGTGTGAGGTGTGAGGAGTTCCTTGAGGTAAGCCGGGGCAGTTCCATGTATGCACTGGTGAGTGAGGAGGCAAAGTTTGTAATGTATTCTGTGTTGGATGGGCAGCCAATGAAGGGACCTAAGGACTGGAGTGATGTGTTCGTGTTTGCGCCTCCTCGTCAGGACCCGGGCAGCACAGTTCTGGATGTGCTGCAGCTTTTGTAGACTTTTGCCAGGGACCCCGACGAGGAGGGCATTACAGTAGTCTATATATATATATATATATATATATATATATATATATATATATATATATATATATATATATATATATATATATATATATATATATATATATATATTTATATATATATATATATAAAATGGCTACTTGTTGACGGCATTACAATTATTTCTAAGACTATTAAAAAGCATTAAATTAGAATTACTCATGCCTGTATAAACCCTGTCTAAAAATGTTGTTTATACATATATATATATATATATATATATATATATATATATATACCTCTTGTGCAGTTCCTCGTTCGGGTTTTGGTTTCCTGTTAACTGTTTTTGGATTTATGCTTCTGTTACCATTTTTCTTCTAAATTAAATCTGCAAGAACTAACCTCTGCATATGGGTCCTCAGCCACCCTCCACCCAACCTTGACAGTAACAGCTTGATCATATATGGTAGATTATAGTGGTGTAAATCACATCCATCATGGCGATTCGATTCAGTATCGATTTCCTGACCCAACGATTCGATTATTTTCGATACTCAAGAATACACCACGATTCGATTCGATTAATCGAGTAATCGGTAAATTTTTTTTATTATTATTATAATTTTTTTTTTTACACCTTACAGGCTAAACAAAGTTTCAAGTTTGAAATAAATCAATGAAAGCTGTAGTATCATTATGCATTTTCTTTAGAAACAACAGCAAATAACAGAAGTAGAAAAGTTGCATCAAAAAATACTGCAAAAATAATGCACAATATCAGTGTAATGAGTTCAATGCAATACCTCGGCTCCAGAGAAACTGTCCAACATATTTTTTTAGAATGTAATAAATATACTCAGGAAAGAGAGATGTTGCGTAGAGAGTTAGACAGGAATAAAAAACTAAAACTAATAAAAAAATAAAACTAGATATAAGGGAATTGTTTCTAATGTAATCTGGGGATGTAGTTTTTGGGAGTATTTTTAATTTTCTAAGAAGAACGGGTATTTTAGTTTGTCTGGTCCATACTCCATTCTGGAAGGTAGCGGTAATGCACCTATAAGTTTTTTGCCAACCGCCATTAAAAAAAAGAAGAAGAAGAAGGCTCCAGAGTGTCGACGTCACCGCCCCCTTGAGAGATGCTCCGCTGCACCTCTACCAGATTGTAGCTGACCGCAAACAGTGCACCAGACAGGAGGCTGGCTTGTTTTGTTTTTATGACCGAAATTGCGGAAAACAACGCGTGAAGTTTGACCCGCTAGAAGAGCGAGGTGCGCGAGACCGCTGGGACCCTTTTTCCAGCTGAATCTCTCTTTTAGGCCCTCATGTCCCTCCGTCGTCGGACTAAACTCGTCCCCACTTCCTCACCGCCACGGCCGTATCTAGACCCACAGTGTGTAGCTCAGACCACGCTTCAATACTGAGCATGATTTAAAAATGTCTGTGTGAAGCTTGCTGCAACAAACTGCTGTAAGAGTATAACCAGGAAGCGCGGTAGGAGGGCAAAATAGGTTTAGCGGCACCGCAGCACGGGAGGGAGAATTACGCCCAGGAGTAAATGGATAAAAATAGACCGGAGGGAAAAAAAGACATGAATCGATTCTCTTGCGGACGTGTCAATGCATCGGATCGTCGGCTTTTGGATCGATGCATCGATACAAAACGATTATTATTTACACCCCTAGTAGATTAGTGCATATATTTTCAATTTTCACTTGTACTGTTGCAAAGCTGTAGCTCCTAAATGTAATTTCACACAAATGTATGAGTTAACAAGGAGAAAAACACACTTTTATTGACTTACACCTATGCGTAAATTTTTATCGACAGTTATCTTACCCCATATATTCATCAGCTTAGACCTTTTGATCTCTAATCAGACATTTTTTTTTACTTTACTAAGTGAAACAAGTGAATTGTAGAATTAACAAGAAGAACATGAATATCTATGCCACCGGATTGACCAAGAATGAAAACAACCATGTTCAATAAGCTGCCTAAAAAACTGCTGCCATCAAGAGCAAAAATAATCAGCTTTTATCCCCACTGCTGCTCAGTTAAAACAAATCCGCTCTTAATTTTTGGACCCATCTGTTAGTAGTCCATCCACATGCACTAAAATGTAACAATACTATCATTAAAACAAGCTTCTGGGTTTAACTTCTTAAAAAAATTGTAGGTCCTCACCAGTCTGCAGGCTTCATACCATGGCTTTCTTAAAAGAGTTAAAAAAAAAAAACAATCAGAAAAACTTTTATTATTAGCATCGGCTCCGTCTCTTGTTAAAACCAACACCAGCTGTTTGGAAAGCGCCCTGTGACCTACCAATGTACGTAGTAATTCAGGTAAAATTGAAGATTGGAGATTCATACAGGAACAAGAAACAAAGTCCAGATGTCAACTTACAGTACGGCTGAAGGTACTCAGGCAAGGAAACAGGAAAGCCATATAGGGAACAGACTTGGCTGATAAGTTAAGGTTTCAGGATGCCGGTTCTGAGTTTATCTATTCAAAGAAATATTTATTTGAATTTTTTCTTTTTGATGAATCCTGAATATATTGTGGTCCATCAAGTGCAGTGGATTCCAGGAGAAACTGGGTATTTTTCCTTAATGAATAAAAGAAAATTGAATCATGATAATAAAGGAGTAGTTTAATTTTCATTCTATTCTTAATAAAAAAGAGACATAAATTGTTGCCATAATTTATGATCTTCAGGACTGTGTTAAAAACCTCCACCTCCCTTACAGGAATATGAATGATTCCTCCCTCGCAGTCAAATGTTCTCCTCATTAAATATTCTCATATTTGAGTTGGAGACACAACAATTTCAATCAGTCACTTTATTTCTAATGCTTTCCTTCAAAGAGTCATTACAGATGCTTATAGCTGCTTTCCTGTAGATATTTGTCTTGCAGAAGATCTGCAGAACGCTCTGACTGAAGACACCCTGTTGTTAGTTTATTGTGTTATCAACAATATGCTTGGTTGCATGAGATTTTTTTATCATGCTGAAGTTTTCTTTGCTCAAGCAGCAGTAATAAAGTCTGAGCCTCCTTGGTGAGCCTGTTCAGGTTTACTTAGCCACATGCTGCTACCACAGAAGATGGGATGACACTCTGCACAGGAGAGCTGAAGATCTACCTCTTGCTGGAAACACTGGAGGACCTGCTACTTTAGGAAGAAGAAAAAAGGTCTCCTCTTATGTCTCTTATATTCAGCTTTACTGATGTGTCTCCAATCTGTTGTCTAAATAAACACTGCGGTCTTTATTAGGAGGAACATTACGTTCTACATGGATGTCTGTTTTGTTTTCTGCTGGTAAATTTAAAGTGTTTTTTGTCACGTAGTCACTCAGTAAATAAAATTACAAGCGGGTGTTTCCTTCTTGTGGAATAATAACATACATGATTATTTTCATCCTGTTTTGCTTAACATGTTTTGCATCATATATGTTTTAGCTTAAGTGGAGGTGCATCTATTTAAATCTTTCCGTACTGATTGTGAATCAGAGGAGATTTACAATCTAGTTCTGTGCCAAGGACAGCTAAGTAGGAATGTTGATAATAATATCCTCTGTGATGGATAAAATGGTGTGCGCACCCCCCTTCATTGCTTTTTGCCGGAGCCTTCAAACACTTTATGCTTTTGAATAAATTTGACAAAAGATTGATGTTTTACTGAGTGGTGGTCTCTCCTTCTATTATAAATAAAAATATAGCAATCAACTGACGCCTTGACTGCTTTTAATTTAGTCATATCAAAGTAAAAGGGGCTCAATACAAATGAAAATCATAGTTCATTACTTAAAAATATCAACTGAAGCTACTTAAAGGAGCTCTTTTTCTAGTCAACATGTTTTAAAGGCATACTATGCAACATTTTTCAGTTAAAGTGTTCCATATCGTTTTGGATGATTAAATGAGTCATTTCAGGTCGAACAAAGGTTTTCTCGGCCGCCCTAGTGGTCTGTAGGGGAAATACCGTACTTGCAATTGCAGGAGCCCTCGGCCCGCACCCACAGGCTCAGAAGTCCCGTGCATCGCGAGAGTCGGTCTTGCTTTACGGCGAGAACTGCTACACGCCCCCAGTGAAAGGCATGCTCGTTGCTAGCACAGTGGCGATGCATGCATAAGGTTGTTTAGACCATTTTCAATTCTTTGAAATGTACTAATTCAGTGCTAGAGGTACAAAACCACAGAAATCAGAACCCCCTTCCCCGGATAAATGTATGGGAAACTCCAACTTGGCTAACTACAATCTTTGTTATTTAGACACATGCATAACAAATAATGTATGAAAACATGCTAAATTTTCAAACTCGAAAATTGGAACAGAATAGTCACTTACCGCAGTAGACATGGTGATTCGTTGCGTTCGCCTGTCTGCTAAGCTCAAAACAACCGCGCCTGGCTTGACGGAGAAACCAGGAGAACAGCTGAGCATATTTACGACAGTGCACTTTTACTTTCGCCCTCTGGGGGGAGCCTCGCTGGAAAATCAACACCGGTTGCATAGTATACCTTTAAGGTTTTATCCAAGTAAGAATACACCTGAGTTGATCCACTTAAATTTAAAATGGCAAACTATTTTCTTCCATTTTTAGATCCGCCTTTCCACCACTTTACCAGCATGTCTGGCACTTTGGCTTTTACCCACAACATTAAGCAACAGAGAGGCCATTCACTCATTTAAATCCACAGTGAAAAGAGATTTTATTAGACATGGACATCCATTCATTATGCCTATTCATAGCTGACACCCAGGAGGTTATGTGCACGCCGTCCCGCTTGAGAACACGTCCCACCCTGATCTCATATCCTTTTACCTAATTACACTCCTGTACTCCTCAGACACATATTTCCACCAAATGTCTTTTCACAGTGTCCGCTCTCGTCACATGGGATTAGAAGAGGTACACAAACAAAGTAGCTTAAAATAGGGTCTCTTTCATGAATAAATATGCAGTGATGTCTTTATGGTTAAGAAACTAAGGCTTTGTCTTTTCTATAATCTTTATAAACAGCAGTTGGGTACCAACCCAAATTTATTGGTATAAATTACAAGTTGACCCAAACATAGCTCCATAGCAACCCTCTAAATACTCAACACAGTGTCACATCTACTGTATGACATAAAACTAGTTAATTATCTATGCAATTACTTACTTAATATCACCACAGCTGATGTTAAATGAAGATGAGAAGCTTTTGTGCATCGTTTAGGTGTTGATGAGGTCCTGCGTGGATAGTTGGGTATTTACAGTGAGTTGTAAAAAGTCTGAAACTGTTTTTAGACACAGAAACAGCAGAGGAGGTCAGACAGAATAAGTTTGGCTTGGAACTGCATGTTTGGTCATAAGGCATAGTGAGAGGCATGAGTAAGAGGTAAAGTTCTTGCGGATCACAACGGCCTCACTTGGATGACATTAGCCCGCGAGGAATCTCCAGCCTTGGAGGTAACGTCAAATTGCTGGAAGTTGTCACTGGTGATGATGAAGACGATGGAGGAGGAGTTGAAGGTGACCCTCTTCTTGGGTCGGTCTCTGGTGTCGCACTTGCTGGATACGACGATGGGTCGGATGGGGCGCTCAGTGGGCGCCAGGGGGCGCTCCTTGAGGTTTTGCTGTAGCCAGGAGATGTTGTGGAAGAGGCGTGAGCAGAACAGCTGCAGGAAGTAGCGCCGGAACTGGGAAACAGGAGGAGGAAAAAAAAACAGATTAGAGGCAATGATGACACAGCACTCATTTACACTCATTTAGCAGTTAAATCAACACATATCATCTAAATCAGACACGTAAGAGTAGAATGATATTTCCACTCCAAAACATGAAATAAATGGCCACTCATATTAAAGCCTGGGTGATATGAAACTGATGCATTCGTATAGACAATGAAACATTTAGTGTTTATTGATGCTTAAATCTGACAAACGTAATACAAAATTAAAAAAATCTATGAAAATGTAGAAATATAAGTTAGAACTTGCTTTTCAACCATGTTTCAACAAAATGACTTAAAAACACAAATGAAACAGGCCTGGAAAATATTAATATATATATAATGCTTTTATTCTGTACCATTCTAGATGTTCTGGGGATGAAATATATTTGAAAAATGAATCGCTTTGATGAAAACATTGTGGCTATGACCTTTAAGATAATTTAGTAAAATGTGATCACCAAGCACAAAACAATGAAGTTGTGTCTGTATTCTGTTGTCTTATTTAGTCCCACATGGCAAAAGGAACGGATGAAAGGAGCCATTAATTGATATAGCCATCACTGTTTGCAGATAAAAAAAATAAATGTGTAACAAGCCACGCTCATATGTGAAAGAAAAAAACAATCATATCAAAACATAAAGTTAAGCAGAGCAAATAGTGAGCTAACTATGACCTCTGGTCCAGATGCTTTTCCTTCCTCTTGTTTGTTTGTATAAAAATCTGACTTTAATTATCATCCCAGAAGCCGTTATGAGGTGAGCTGGTAAGCTTCATTTAATAGAGTAACCTTCGTTCAGGGTTAATAGCTGAATTATTCGCTTCATCGCAGCGACAAAGACTCTCTAATCAGAGGTGGGGATGTACAGTTTTTTTCTGATGCAGAGGAAAATTATTTAATGACAAACCTTCCTGCTCATGAACACGTAGATTAGCGGGTTGTAGGCTGTGCTGGATTTGGCGAAGAATGAGGGGATGATGGCCACCGTAGGGGAAACCATGGTCTTCTTGCCAAAGGCCTCCATCATGGACACCACGGCGTACGGCGTCCAACACACCAAGAAGCAAGATATCATCAGGAGAAACATGGCTGCAACCTTCTTCTCATAACGCAGGATTTTGATGATCTGAACCGTCTGGAGGTCTTGGAGAGAACGCAGCTACAGAGGGTAAGAGAAAGAAAATAATGATTGGGGTATAAAAAAAATTATATTAACTGCAGCTTTTTGATTAATTGACTTAATTGATCTCACAGTTAATCAAGCTCTTTCTGTCATGGGTTTGATTTACATGAGAGTGACAAAGTTTATAAAAAAAACAATTACCCTTTTTGAAAGCAGCATTTAACAAACATTTAATAAGAAAAAAAATTCAGTCAGGGAAAAAGCGAGGGGAACAGATCTGCTCTAAAGCTCAAGGTTAAAGGAGGCGAGTTCGGGTTTTCCCTGCAACTGATGCAGATTAAAGGCGACTTTCTGAATATTGTTGATGGCAGCAGCCGTCTATGGTAGATGTTCCAAAAGGAGGGTCAGGACTAGGGGTGTAAATCACACCCATGCTGGCGATTCAATTCAATATCGATTTCCTGACCCAACGATTCGATTATTTTCGATACTCAAGAATACACCACGATTCGATTCGATTAATTGTTTTTTTTGTTTGTTTTTTTACCATACAGTCCAGATAATGCTCCAAATTTGAAATAAATCAATGAAAGCTGTAATATCGTTATGCATTTTATTTGAGAAACAACTGCAAATAACAGCAGTAGAAAAGTTGCACTCCAACTATTCCTATTAAAACCTCATTCACTGGAAAATAATAATACCTCTGCGTTATAGATTCTGAAAAGCCTTGCATCAAAAAATACTGCACAAAATCAGTGCAATGAGTGCAATGCTATACCTCAATTTCAGAGTGTAGACGTCCCCGCCCCCTCCGCAGATGCTCCGCTGCACCTCTCCCAAGTTGAAGCTGACCACAAACAATGTCACAGACAGGAGGCCAGCTTATTTATTTTTTTTTATGACTGAAATTGTGGAAAACAACTCGTGAAGTTTGACCCACTAGAAGAGCGAGGTGCGCGAGAACGCTGGGACCCTTTTTCCACCTGGATCCCTGCTGTTTTTGGCCCTCATGTCCCTCCGTCGTCGGTCAAACTCGCCCCCAATTCCTCACTGCCTCGGCTCTATCTAGACCCACAGTGTGTAGCGCAGACTTCAATATTGAGCATAAATCAAAAATGTCAGCGACAAGCTCACTGTGACACACTGCTACGGAAGCGAGGTAGGAGGGCACAATAGGTTTAGCGCCACCGCAGCACGGGAAGGAGAATTACGTCCAGGAGCAAATGGATGAAAATACACCAGAGGAAAAAAAAAAAACATGAATCGATACTCTTGCTGACGTGTCGATGCATCGGATCGTCGGCTGTTGGATCGATGCATCGATACAAAACGATCATTATTTACAACCCTAGTCAGGACCCCCTGGGGGTTTCACAAGTATTGTGATGTAATCCATCTATTATATAGTTTACCAAAATATATATAATGAAATACTTAAATGCACCAGGAGATAAGATTTACAATAGTAGCTATTCAAAATGTCCCCACTTTCCTTGATGGGCCTTTGGCTGGTCCCCTACAATTCCTTTTTAAACGATCAATCTTTGTTTCTATAAATATTCTTTCTGTAATGATTTGTGAACATTAAGATCTAAAGAGAAGCTTCATCTCCTGGTCAGACCCTGTAATTCAGTGAAAGGGTGGCGTCAGTGCTGCAAGTTGGAGGGGACAATGCTGCGAGTTGCAGGGAAGTTGGCTGTCATTCGGCTGGCGTTTGACGTGGAAGGGCCACTTTGTATGGCTGCGTACTTATTTATCAACTAAAGGATTCAAATATTAAATGATTTTAAAAGTAATGCATAAGAAAATGATATAATCATTGAAACAATTTACATTCAAATAAATATAATTACTTTACTATGGGGGAGACCCCTCCCCCCCCGTAATTGACATTTCTGCACTATTTTTGCACGCCACGTATCACTTTACTTGGATTTATCACTTTACTTGGATTTTCACTTTATTTGGACTTAGTTTTTACATATGCGTAGATATACGTACAGATATACAGAAGAGCTATATGTGTATATATTTTATCTCTTTTTATTCTTATTTTTTATCTTTATTATATTGTATAGTTGGATGTGTGGGGATTATTAAAGTATTAAAGTATTTCTTATTCTGATATTTATAAATAAAAGTCATAATTCCATTACTGTCCCAGAGGTTTGTCACACTTCCTAAATAACTGTTTTTCATGATTCTTGACCCCCATATGCAGCTGCGGTTTCTGATAGGGGTGACATGGCGGCTGCCCAAGTAACCCTGCTATATAGGGCGGCATTGGCATGCTGTCCCATTGTGAAAAAATAAAATAAAAAAATAAACATGCATGCTGGGTTTATCGACCTTCCACATTAACAGTAGATGTGCAGTTTGGACTGGTAACCTGCCAGGATAGGGAGGAATTCATACTGGAATTTCTTGCTGGTGTATGAGCTACATCCTCCCGCATCGGAATTTATTCAGGAAAATATTTGCCTCGAAATTTATTCATCTCCTAATTTTGATCTGGTGGTTGATTAAGACTAAAACTCTCAGCCTCTTTTAAATCCAAGCACAACTAATTTTCAAGAACAAAAGAGTCTCTTCCTCTGTTATTCTTTCATAGATTAGAAACCAATTACTGCACCAGACAGTGCTAAATGCTGTAGCTAAGTAACAGCAACACTTAAGATACTAAAAAACATTTTCTTATCCTATCTGTTCACTTTACTAAATGAATACAGAACCCTTTCTTACTGAAGCTAAATAAAATATAATAGCCAGCATCTTCTAATGTATTTAAATGTTTTTGCAGAGATAGTAGGAGTTCATCTTTGATGCTTCCTTAACATTAACTTGAACACCAGAAATCTGATACTTCTATAATCTCTTCATTAACCTCCACCATTGTTTTTGTGAGTGCAGGGTTATACTGTATAATTAAAACCACTGTGTGCCCTAATGGCCATAATTAAAGGCTGACCTGCTTCAGCTTTCAGGTCAAATTAAAATACTTCTACACCATGGAGATGATCTATGAATTGTATTTACGTCATTACTCTGCAGTTGGTATTACTTTGGTAAAGGAAAGGATCATTGTCACAAGAAGCACAGTGCCCTAAAAAGTATATTTTAACATTTTGAACTTGAAAGTTTAATTTGTTGTTTTAGGTTTTATCTGACGGAAAAACGCAAACAAAACTGTGAAGAAGGAAAAAGAATAAAAAGTTTTTGGCATTTTTATACCCCTTTCCTACTGGCTAAAAAACCCATTTAAATCCAGGAACAATCAGCTTTTAGTGGTAGTGGGAACAGCTCACTGACGCATGTCTACCCGGGTGAAATGACTTAGCAAGCGCCCGTTGTTTAAACCAACTCGGCTCTGATCTAACCTGACTCCGCCAGATGGATTTGCTCCACATATCTATCTGGAAACCTTCCGTTGAAGTAAATTTGGGAAGGGGCGAAAATACTGGATAGCGGATTGGCCTATGTTGGTGATAGAGGGGCCAAATAAACCAATCAGATCAACGAAGCATATGACGTACTAACAGAGCAACGACGAAAACACAACCACAAGCAAGGCACAAGCCAATTGATAGATCAAACTCTTGCCGAAACCAGTCGGGAGAAGAGTAAAAACATATTTTCCTCTGAGAAAAGCCTCCAGAGCAGTGTTTTGCTCTTCTTTCAGTGAAGAAATACTCTGTAATTCCGATAAAACTTGCTCGATAGCCACGCTAACGCTAGTTTCATCGGCTGAAGCCGCCATGTTCTTTAGCTCACGAAAGCTCGTGAGATCAGGATGGTCTCACGAGGCTAGCTCTGATCGGTATGTAGTGGGAAAACCAGAGCCGGGTTGACCTGCTAATTTACCTGACACCATTGAACGCAACGTACGGACATCAACACACTGCGCCAGTCGCTTCTGATCTAATGAGCTAAAACAACTTTGTTTACATTTGTTAAACATGGCACAGCTCTGGTGAGAGGGATTTAGAAAAATAATAGAGCCAAACAATAAAGGATACTGACTAAGCCCTGGCTTTCTTACATGTTGCTCTCCATTGTTTACTTTCCTGATTTATGTCTTGACATGGTCAACTCTAACCCAGCCTGATGGTGTCACCAGACATGCGGCCACGAGGGGACAGAGGCCATGCAGCTGCCAGCAAGAGGTTAGACATTTTGCCAGTGGGAAGGGAACTAAATGAACCAAATGTTGGGGGGGCTACCCATGTTTGTTAAACACGTGTTAACCCATCATTTTCAGTGGGAAAGAGGCTTTAGTTAGTAAGAATCTGAAAAATGTGGCATGGATTTTTATTTATCCCCCTATAAAACCACCTTCTGTTCCAAGTTACTTGAAGGAAAGTCTCTACTAGAATTGAATAAAAATATCTCTTATCATCCCTCAGTGGAAAAATATGGGCAATTTTAAAGGAAAATGGAAACATGCGTCTTTGGACAAAGAAAAAAACTTAACAGTGAAGAGACAGCCCAGTAAGGAAAATAAAAACAGTGTACATTTATTATAAATAGCACAGCCAGACTGAAGGAAATGTGAAACTGAGATGATTAATTTTCTAAATTTACAAAGTTTCTATAGCAGTTGATGTGCAAAAAAAATTTCAAAACATGGCTGATTATTTGTATATAATAAAAGAAAAAAACACTATTTTAAAGACTTCAAACAAACAAACAGAACCTCAGGAATTGAAACAATTTAATGTTTATGCATTTATCAGATGCTTTGATCCAAAGCGACTTACAAAGAAGGCATTAGTGTGAAGTGGCTTGCCTAAGGACCCCCCCGCAGGGATTTGAATCCAGGGACTCCTATGTGCAAAGCGGGTGCCTTATCACTTGAGCTAGCCTGCCGCCGATTTAATTAGTGTAACACTGGATTTTGAACAACAGATTCACTTTTTCTTGGCCTTTGTTCAAAAAGGCTGAAGCTCAGTCAGGCTGAATGGAGCACATCTGGCTCCATGACTTTTTAAGAATCCCCCACAGAAATTGAACTCACACCCTCTTCAGAAGTTTTGTGGGCTCCAAGGTTTTCTCCAGTTTCGAATATCTTTCCAACAACTATGACAAGCTTCCTTGCCCATCGCACGGCACATTTCTTTCAAAGCATGCACCATTTTCACCTTAACCTCTTAAGCAACCAGGTGGACCTTAAAGGAGAACGCCGTTTTTTTTTTACAATGGCCCCTTGTTTTTACGTTATTACATCATGTTCTACTCACCCATACGAGTTCTGTGTCATTTAGAGTTGTTCTGAAGATATTCTGTTTTGTTATATCTAAGTAACTTCTTCCTATGGGCAGCATTCATTACATGTAGGGGAATCACTGTCCCCCAGACATCCGCGGATATATTTTTTATATTTATATCTTTTAAAAACAAAGCAGAGTGTGAATGACATCATCCGCGCGCGCCGGCTACCATTCATTCATCCTGTCCACTGAACCGCTGCTAGTTTTACTCACATGCCTGGAAGATGTCTAGTCCTACTACCACAGATTATCTCGCTGTCGAAATGGAATTGAACGAATTAGATTAGCTAGCCGAATGAATAGAAGGGGTAGAGCGTAGCCGCCTGTGACCCAACTCCAGTCCGGCGCGCAGATGACATCATACACACTCTGCTTTGTTTTAAAAAAATATAATGTAAAAAAAAAATGATGTTTCCTTTTAAGTGGGTGTAATAATTAAAAATGCATAAAATTCCACCGGTAAAATTTTTACCAGCAGGTGGAGCCATTGCGCGCAGCTCCAAGCTGACACCAAAAGTTCCATACCCCACAGCCCTGGAACTGTTATAGCTAGAGGTCTGAAATCTTCTGCATTTGTGGTTGACATGATGTAGAACAAATATAATACAATAAAACCTGCCTTTTCTCAAGAATTATTGTATTACTGCTGTTCAAAAAAAACAAACTATAATTTCCGAAAATAAAAAACAACAACTTTGAATCAAGTTTGAACTGATGCAGGCTGGTCTGTGTTCTAGTAACCCAATTTTAATTTATATATTAGGAAACTAGAGGGTGTTAGCTTTCAAATAATGTATTGCACATGTAATTTGGGCTTACAGTTCCTAAGATATTTGCTTTTCCATTTGGGTATGCAAAATAGGCGATGATTACCCAAAATGAGGTAGATATTAAGAGGTTAAAATGCAGAGTTCAGTTTTATTTAAGGGGATGACAATAAAATGACAATAAAAGGGGCTCAATAGAAACTTCAGAGTCGTGTTTGTAGAAAAATGGGAGATATTCAACTCTTATCCTTCCACTTTACAATAAGGCAGTAATAATGGACAAAAACTGTAATAGTCATTATTAAAGGGATTCCAGTATTTATCTAATTTAAAGGTTATGTCATTCATGATGGACAGAGTTCAGCTCAGTGATGAGAGTTCATATCGCTCCTTTTATTGCTAACCTGTTTTTGTTTTTTGTTTCCTCTATTCTTTATGAATCCATAATCCATTTCCTACTTAATGTTAATTTCTGCTGCTCTCCAGGTCTTCACATGTCTGGTGAGATTTTTTCAGTCTCAGGCAAAGCAGGCCAGCTGCTCTAAATCTCTGCAGCATTCGGAGCGCTTTTCTTTGAAGATTTTCCCAGAATGCTGTGATGTGCGATGAGACTCCTCTCAGGCATCGACGCCGTTCTGGGAATTTTCCCTAGCTCGAGCTCAGAGGCTCTGAGGAGGGAGCTGCTCACACTTCAAGCAAAGTGGTGAATATTTAAGAGTGGAAAACTGTGATTCATAAAAGAACACGTGGGTCACTGGTATTAAGGTCAAATTTTAATTTAGATCTAATGTAATAAGAAAAACTTGCTGAGTTAAGGTCATAGACTTTATCTGCATGAAAATCCATTATTCTAATAAAAAGTAATTTTCACTCGACTCCTTTTTCAAGGATTGTGAATTTATATAATGAAGAAGATTAAACAAGAATTTTCTTTTTACTGGATTTTCTCTTTCGTTTAAAAAGTTTGCTGTAAGAGACTAAAGCAGAGGTGATGAGATGAAAACGTTGAGGCTAAAAGGTTATTTGATCACAAAAAATCAGAAGAATTACTCTTAGAAGACTTGAAATTTTAAGTTTTAACCAAACGCATCTGAAATGATGTGATGCATTATTTGTTTTTCTGGAGCCTAGAAATGGACCACAGCTTTATCACTAAAGCTTTTTGGTTTCTTTCTGTTTGTGATAAAATATCCTTGGTGTTAATTGGATGAGAAATCTACAACTGTTGGGTTATGATTATAAATCGTTGTTGATTGTAATATCAGAGTGCAATTTTTAATTGATCAGAACCATAAAGACTTTCCAAAAAAGTTAAAACACAATCCACTGGACCATAGGTGGAAAGAGTACTACACTGCAAAAAATCTAAATCTAGGTAAGTCATTTTTTCTTAAAATAAGTGCATTTGTTCTTGAATTGAGGAGGTAAAAGAGACATTTTGACAATGGAACAAGACAATTTACACTTAAAATAAGAAAACATAATTGCATTGTCTTATTTCAGGTCCATATTATCTAATTATCTTATTTTAAGAGTAAAATTACTCATTCCATTGGCAAACTATCTCATTTACCTGCTCAAATTAAGGGTAAATACACTTAATTTAAGAATTTTTTACTTATTTCTAGATCGTTTTTGCAGTGTAAAAAATTGTAACTGAGTAAAAGTATCTTTACTTTGCCTAAATTCTATTCAGAGTAAAAGTAAAATTACCCATCTCCAAATTTTCTCAAGTAAAAGTACAAAATTACTTCGTTTAAAATGTAATTTTAATAAAGTTACTTAGTTACTTTGAGTTATTTATTGCAAAAAAGGATGAGTCATGAATCGAATTGACCACAAGGTGTTTTAATCGATTTCAAGGCGTATTTCAGTGGACATCCACACTTGCAAAAGATCAGCTGGGCTAAAGAACATACTTCCTCACAGCACAAGGACAGTCACAACCTGTACCATAAAGTGCAAACAACTTTCAACCCTACTGTCTGTCCTCCATATAGACAACACCATGATAGGAATAAAGAAATTTAAACTACATTTTAAAGTTTTCAAAATGCACACAAAATTAAATCCCCAAAAGATACTAGAAATCAAACTAAAACGCAACAGGATCCCACTGTTATTAACAAGCTCCTCATTTAATGATTTTAACTGACACTTGTTTTTACATCAATTGTTTATATGTTTGAATTGTGTAAATTAAGTGCTGTTAAAAGTCAAAAGTCTTCTTCTATTTTTTAATGGTGATTAAGTGTCGGTTCCTATGGTGGCCCTGAAGTGCAAACTGCAACTACAAATCTAAAAGCGCAACTACATTAAGGAAAACAAAACTAAATAAAGCAAAGCGCAACTACATTAGGAAAAACACAATTACATTAATCTACCGGAAAAGGTAGGTACCAGTGGGAAACATGAGACATCGCTGATTGGACGACGGCGACGTTTGACCCTTGAACCGGAAGTTGCGTCGTCTGAACAGTCCAGCTTCTTTTAAGTGTGTCTTCAGTGTACGCAAACTAACTGAAATCTCATGATTAGTCTTGAGCATATCCAGTATCACCTCGTACGTATGTCCCGATTCAAAATATTCCTGGATAACGGCAGCTATGTTTGGGGCGCCGACAATATCCATGTTTTCAAAAGCCGCAGCAGGCAGAATGACTTCCGGTTCAAGGGTCAAACGGCGCTGTCGTCCAATCAGCGATGTCTCATGTTTCCCACTGGTACCTACCTTTTCCGGTAGGTTAATGTAATTGTGTTTTAGTTAATGTAGTTGCGCTTTGCTTTATGTATTTTTGTTTTTCTTAATGCGCTTTTAGATTTGTAGTTGCAGTTTGCACTTCAGGGCCACCGTAGTAACGTGAGGGGGTTTTAAATGTAGCGAAGTAAAACTACTTAGGTTAAAATTGACTCGAGTAAAAGTAAAAATTACATTTTTTAAAAACTACTCAGAAAATTACAAATTACTCATAAAAAGTACTCAATTACACTAACGTGAGTAAATGTAATTTGTTACTTTCCACCCCTGCACTGGACCCTGAGATAGACTGGCGGCCTGTCCAGGGTGTAACCCGCCTTTCGCCCATTGACAAAGAGGAGAGAGGCACCAGCACCCCTCGCGACCCCACTTGGGATTAAGGGTGTCAGAAAATGGATGGATGGATTTTAACTAAATTAATTGGTTAAATTTAAGTTTATAAGTTTATTTTACCAGTGGCGTTTGAGTGCTAGAAGATGTTAATCTGTTTTAGTGAAGGTTGTGGGGATTAAGGAGCCAGAGTCTAATGTTGATTTGTTTGGATTGGGACCAAAAAAAAAAAAGAGAAGCATCGAAATGTCAATCTTAGAGTGGCAACGGTGAAACTGCCATGATAAAATAAGGAATTTATTATGGTTGAAATGTCACTTGGGGGGAGAATTGATCTGATCTTTCCTTTCAAGTCTGGTGTTTTGAAATAAAAAACAAAAAAAAATTGGAGCCTTACCATTCTCACTGTGTAGAGGATGTTACCATAGCAGTAGATCATGATACCAACAGGCACGAAGAAACATGCGAGGAGGAAGAAGAGGATGAAGGAGGCATCATTTGGGTTTTTGGAGGCCCAGTCCAGGGAACAGCCCAGCTGGTGGATCTCTAAAGTGTAGCGGTTCCAGCCAAGCAGTGGAGCTCCAGTCCAGGCCAACGAGTAAAGCCAGATGTGAGCGATGGCTCGCCATTCCCAGGGAAAGTCCACCACCTGGGCATGGACCACCCTGATGTAGCGTTCATAGGCCAGAGCCGCCAGAGTCATGATGGAGACGATGCCTGTGAGGGGAGAGAGAGAGGGGGAGAATTAGAGAGAGGAGCTCGCTGAGTAACACAGCCCTCATCCCTGCAGGATCTGGGTCAACGGCTACTCAGCGTCTCTTTGGTCTGAGTTTCATCGCAACCTGTTTAAACTTAACACAGAACATCACATTCAGTCATTTCAGAACGAAACCTTGACAACTTGCAGAAAGTGACTCTTAACACCCCCGCAGATGTACACACACCTCTGAGACCTGCATCTGCATTATGCTGCCTGATATATCCACATACTGTGAAAGAGAGATAGCCTCTGTCCCTGCAATAGCTTTCAGTATCATATTGAGACACATTTTGTTCTAACTCTTACAAGCAAATAAATAAAGCAAATCTACAACCTGAAAACATTGCAAGTTGCGGTTGCACCTTGCAAAACCTGTGTTTAATTCTTTAAACATGTGCATCTGTAGCGGTATTACTAGTAATCTCATGGCCCATTTGATCCTACAATTACCAAACACAACTAGAGGGTGCCGTTAAGGACTAAGATCATAGCAGAAATGCACACAGTAAGCAGTAGGATGCAAAACTACAGAAAAACCCTAGGATATTTTTTGTTTTGTTTATGCTCCCTAGTTGAAAAAACACTGTTTCAGCAGACTCCAGTTAATTGCAATTAAGCAAAGTATTGTTCCAACTTTGGCCTATCTGAAAAATACGGAAGAGGGTTAGGGCCACTGGAAAAAAAAAAAAAAAAAAGTTTACTGATTTTTAAATTTTATTTCAGTTTAGTATGGGAAAAAAGTCAGAATTCTGACTTTCATCTCAGAATTCTGACTTTAATTTCAGAATTTTGGATCTTAATGTAGATGGGCATCGTGAAGGAAGAGATGTGGAGCACTCAGCTTCACTGACAAAGATGTGAGTTGTTTGAGGTGGCCAGTGACACATTGGTGGAAAATGACAGAATAAGGGAACTTTTTACGTGCCCGAGGGGTCCCCTCATTAATGGAGGAGCAGAAGGTCATTAAAACAAGAGAGCTAGTCTCTAAAACAGACATGGCTATGGCTTGATGCTAACATGTTTGTTATCTGTCAGGATTCTGAGAAAAAAGTCAGAATTCTGAGAAAAAACGCAGAATTCTGAGATTAAAGTCAGAATTCTCAGCAAAAAGTCAGAATTCTCAGCAAAAAGTCAGAATTCTCAGCAAAAAGTCAGAATTCTGACTTTTTTCCCATACTATACTGAAATAAAATTAAAAAATCAGTTAACTTTTTTTTTTTTCCAGTGGCCCTAATCCTCTTCCGTAGAAAAAGCATAGATTTACTTACAAAATTAAGTCAACTTAAACTATTTCTATACAATGACAAAAATTTGGAAGGGCTGATCCTAGTTTAACCTCTTACACCCTAAGGGGGTATAAATAAATTTCTGCCTGACAAAAACACACAAAAGTAAATAACTTATAGCCTCAAAGCTATTAGATTTAAGAAGAAACTTTTGGTACGTCTGTAAAGGTAAGATGTCATAGAATAGTTTTCTGGTGTCAGCACCATTGTAGCTTTGACCCTGCCTGAAATATTAGGGACAAAATACAAAATATTTTGCATTTTTTGAACCTCGCCAAAATTTTCTTTGAAATAAACATTGCAAAACACTACCAAAATATTATTTATAGCACAAAACAGTAGTACAGACTTTCAAATCTAAATGTTGTGTAAAAATATACCAAATTTGGACTCAATCAGATGAATCATATTTATTTTAGAATGGTATTAGTGAGAAATTTCTTAGGCGGAGAGGCCATTTTGGCACATTTATCCATAAATGTCACCAAACTGTGCCAAATATGTTTTTTACATCAATACTGGGGGTTTGGTAAAATTACGAGGTCATGTAGCAGCTGGACCCGCCGGTGGGTCCGTAGGGTTCAAGGGGATATATTGGGGCTGCAGGGCTTTCTGCATGGAGTTTTCATGTTCTCCCTGTGCATGCGTTGGTTTTCTCTGGGTACTCCGGCTTCCTCCCATCGGAACCTTGACTGCAGGTTAATTGGCATCTTTAAATTGTCCTTAGCTGTGAGAATGTGTGACTGTGTGGTTGTGTGTCTCTGTGTTGCCCTGCAACAGACTGTCCATAGACTGCCAGAGAGGCACCGGCCCCACCATGACCCTGACGGTATGGATGGATGGATGATCCTAGTATGACACTAATGATTTGGATATATCTAGAACATTCTCATCTTAATCTCACTTTATTAGGGTTATTTTATTCAGTTAAATGGATTAGGAAATAAAACTCATATTATTATTATTATTATTATAAACATTTATTACATAAAGAGTTTTGTATTCCAAGCATTATTTTTGTATTATCTTAGATCATTGTGGCCTACAGCTGATAAAATATATATTATATTACAGAAAAGCAAGAAACATCAAATAATTCAACCTCTTCTATGGTCAGAATGTATGTTTCATGATAAAAATGATAAAGATCCTTTTTTATGGTAAAGCTCATTTTTGTTATGATGAAGTTGTTATACCGTATCCTCCCTTGGTTTACGGCAATTCAATACTTTTGAAGACATAAGGACAGACATCCGTGTGACCTTGTTTTGTCATGTTAGAAACGACCTCCTGGATGATTTGAGGAATTTTAGCTGCAGCGCTAATTTGTGAGTGATTACTAATATGAGAGGCAGAGGGATTAAATTTGAGTTCAACTTTTATCGTTTTCTAAGTTTGCTTTATTATCTGAATGTAGGTCACAGCAGATAGGCATATCTTCAACAAAAGAGAAACATTCAAACATTGCTGCAAACACCAACTTTGCATTCTTTTGATTCGGAATCCTCCTGTGACATGTTTTGAAATGCAAAAAAATAAAAAACAAAACACAAAACAATTAGACATTGCTGCAGTACTGCCCTCTGACAGAGGCAGGCAGTGTTCCTTAGATCTTTCAGGCTCACTTGGCAATGCCAGTTAAAGGACAGTAGGATGACAGGAGGGCAACTGTCCAGCGCTTCTTTGCATTTACTTTGATGAAAAAGCAGCCAAGAAGCTAGAAGGCTTGTTCTAATGAGCTCATTAACACTCAGCCATCCTCTGGAGCCGTAGGTTGAACAGTGGTGGGAGCCAAGAAATACCCTCCTCCTCCCCCCAGTGCTTGCTGTCCACACTTCATTATTAAATACAGGTATGTGTATGATAATAAATGTGCAGCAGAGAGATGTGACAAAAGATACGTCTGCATCATGCAGTGTCCAGCAGAATAAGAAAGCTTATATAATATTGATAAAAATCTTTCCAAAACATGTTATTATATTTATATTACATTATATTTGATACATTTTTATTTAAAAAACGTGTAAAATGACATGATGTACGTCTTATACTGTAGGATCAGGCACATTCCAAATGAAAAACACATCTTATAATATGCAGAGGTTTATATTTATAAACTATTAATTAAATTAGACTGAGTTTATTGTCATTTTAGTGTATACAAAAATAGCATTTCAGTACAGCTCTCAAGACATTTTTCATTTTTAAAGTGCAGAAGTGATAAAATGTGAACATAAATTAATTTTAATTGCCTTTAAACACATTTTAAACAATACAACTATTTGGAAAAAGAGGAGTTGGAAACAACTATATGATCCTTCACATTGTCACATAGATCAGATGTATTTTTCTCACCAAACAGGCTGTTGCTGAAGCCGTCCCAGACGCATGTATCCTGGCTCCATATCCACCTGCCTTTAATGCACGAGGCGAATGTAAAGTTTATCCCGGTGATGGAAACCAGAAAATCACTAAAGCTTATGTTGACCAGCAGTAAATTGGTGGGCGTGCGGAGCCTTTTGTATTTACAGTAGAGTAAAATAACAACGACGTTGTTGCAGAAGCCGAAGACTCCAATGGTCCCGATGGTGAACGCCAGAAGTTTGTAGGTTCCGGCTGCAAATATGTAATTGTCCGCGCTTCTCTCGGTTTCGTTGGCCGGATTCATGTCGGGGACAAAAACTTGGTTTCCAGCATCGTGAGGCGCACGCGACTCGGAGCAGGAGAGACTGAGCGCTCCTTTCATGAGCGACAGTGCCGCGCGCCGCTCATTCACAAGCGGCAGCGCGAGCGCGGTTTGCTCAAACTGGGTCAAAGTAACAAAGTCAAGAAAGACATTACGTGACTGTTTTCTTCCAGTTAAAAAAATAAATAAATAAAATGGTTTGACCCACAAGTTATGTGAAGGATTCAGTGCAGCCGAAAAAGTATTTGCCTCCTTTACAGATCTGTAAGTTTTCACCTTTTTGCCCGTTTAAATTACATTAAAGAAAAGAAAAAAGTGAGTAAATACAAAAAACCCACATTTTTAATGCTGACAGTTTACAAAATAATAAAAAGGCCCGTCTAAATCATCATAGCGTTGTGTTAAAAAAGTAATAAACCCCACTAAACCGAATTTTGCCTTTCTTTTATGCACTTAATAGGCACCTTTAATGTCATAATAAACCATTTTAACTGGATTTAAGTCCCTACTTTGACTAGACCAATCCAAGAGCATTTTTTAAATCTTTTTTTATTATCCTAAATCAATGCAGGTCCAGCAAATTCCATAACACTTTCTTCCCCACTAGACTGCTGAATGTATGGGTTATTTTATAAAACAAAAATGTTAGAACTGTAAATATACTGTCCTATGTTTATATTACTTTGTTTTTATGTATTTATTGCTGTTTTTAAGGCTGCATTTCAAAAAAATGAAATTGTCTGGAGCTGTTATGAACAAAATTTACTTTTGTATACACGAGTGTATACAAAATGACAAAATAAATCTGTCTAAGTCTAAATAGTGCTGCTGTGCTTAACATCCAAAACTGATAGCTGGAAAGTTATGGCAAAGTAATCCAGGTTCTGAAGGAACAAATAACACCTGACCATTGTCTTATAAAAATATTAGTCTGATCTTATCAATTAATAATTTTCCCAAATTCTTTCATTTCCCTTCACTTGTTATCAGATTCAGTTTAAGTGTTTTCTTTTTTTCATGTAGGTCAATCAGCCTAATCATGGTATATTCAGGATTTTAACAAGAGAAATATTTTTATTTAGTCAGATTTGCTTGTGTAGTTTTTTCCCCCTTTATAAATAAAATCAATCCATAAATCTATAAAATCAAAAGGTACATTTTACATTTACTCAGGCAACTTTTTCTGATTTTAAAAATGTTTTAATATTCAAAGATTAACGTGTGACTATAA